TTTAGATAATCCTGCCTCGGTGGGATACATCTCGTTTGTTAAAAAAAAACTGAACAAATACACCAATCACTCCAAAACTGTATTCCCACTTTCTTAAAGCATCTTAAGTCTTAATCTCTTCTGATCCAGCTGCTTAACTCCCTTTCATTAGATCCACTGCCTCACACACTCACCTCTGACTCTCCTTACTCATACCAGAGCTTACTGCTCCCTGCCCAATGCAACTTACTGCTTTCTTATCATCTAACAAAGCCTCATAACACTCCTTCCATCTTTCTAGTATTTCCACTTCTGACATACTGGTCACTCCTCTAAAGACATGCACATCCAAAAGTCTACCCATCAACCTTTTATCTACCAATAATCTAACTGCTGCCATAGCAAATTTTATCACACTGAGTAAACTTGATCCTATTTTTCTTAAGAGTGATGACCGATAGTCAAAGATGTGTATATACGATGGAGAAACCAGTAAACTGCCTGATTAGTTCAAAATAAGTGTAGGAAACAGAACATACATATCTATATACTGGAATTACTGGCAACCCGAATGATTACTGGTAGTTAAGTGTACATGTAAGGAGTACATCAAGTGTGTGTAATGTATTAAGGATTATTCAGTAGGTACCTGGAGTTTACCTGGAGAGAGTTCTGGGGGTCAACGCCCCTGCGGCCCGGTCTGTGACCAGGCCTCCTGGTGGATCAGAGCCTGATCAACCAGGCTGTTGCTGCAGGAAAAGTGTACGGTAGGGTTATAATTGAAAGAATTAGAGGTAAGACAGAATGTAGGATTGCGGATGAGCAAGGAGGTTTCAGAGTGGGTAGGGGATGTGTAGATTAAGCGTTTACATTGAAGCATATATGTGAACAGTATTTAGATAAAGGTAGGGAAGTTTTTGTTGGATTTATGGATTTAGAAAAGGCATATGATAGAGTGGATAGAGGAGCAATGTGGCAGATGTTGCAAGTATATGGAATAGGTGGTAAGTTATTAAATGCTGTAAAGAGTTTTTATGAGGATAGTGAGGCTCAGGTTAGGGTGTGTAGAAGAGAGGGAGACTACTTCCTGGTAAAAGTAGGTCTTAGACAGGGATGTGTAATGTCACCATGGTTGTTGAATATATTTATAGATGAGGTTGTAAAGGAAGTAAATGCTAGGGTGTTCAGGAGAGAGGTAGGATTAAATTTTGGGGAATCAAATTCAAAATGGGAATTGACACAGTTACTTTTTGCTGATGATACTGTGCTTATGGGAGATTCTAAAGAAAAATTGCAAAGGTTAGTGGACGAGTTTGGGAATGTGTGTAAAGGTAGAAAGTTTAAAGTAAACATAGAAAAGAGTAAGGTGATGAGGGTATCAAATGATTTAGATAAAGAAAAATTGGATATCATATTGGGGAGGAGTATGGAAGAAGTGAATATTTTCAGATATTTGGGAGTTGACGTGTCAGCGGATGGATTTATGAAGGATGAGGTTAATCATAGAATTGATGAGGGAAAAAAGGTGAGTGGTGCGTTGAGGTATATGTGGAGTCAAAAAACGTAATCTATGGAGGCAAAGAAGGGAATGTATGAAAGTATAGTAGTACCAACACTCTTATATGGGTGTGAAGCTTGGGTGGTAAATGCAGCAGCGAGGAGACGGTTGGAGGCAGTGGAGATGTCCTGTTTAAGGGCAATGTGTGGTGTAAATATTATGCAGAAAATTCGGAGTGTGGAAATTAGGAAAAGGTGTGGAGTTAATAAAAGTATTAGTCAGAGGGCAGAAGAGGGGTTGTTGAGGTGGTTTGGTCATTTAGAGAGAATGGATCAAAGTAGAATGACATGGAAAGCATATAAATCTATAGGGGAAGGAAGGCGGGGTAGGGGTCGTCCTCGAAAGGGTTGGAGAGAGGGAGTAAAGGAGGTTTTGTGGGCAAGGGGTTTGGACTTCCAGCAAGCGTGCGTGAGCGTGTTAGATAGGAGTGAATGGAGACGAATGGTACTTGGGACCTGACGATCTGTTGGAGTGTGAGCAGGCTAATATTTAGTGAAGGGATTCAGGGAAACCGGTTATTTTCATATAGTCAGACTTGAGTCTTGGAAATGGGAAGTACAATGCCTGCACTTTAAAGGAGGGGTTTGGGATATTGGCAGTTTGAGGGATATGTTGTGTATCTTTATATGTGTATGCTTCTAAACTGTGTATCCTGAGCACCTCTGCAAAAACAGTGATAATGTGCAAGTGTGGTGAAAGTGTTGAATGATGATGAAAGTATTTTCTTTTTGGGGATTTTCTTTCTTTTTTGGGTCACCCTGCCTCGGTGAGAGACGGCCGACTTGTTGGGGGGGGGGGGGGGATTGGAATATGAAGTTGACAGCAAAAAGTGTGAACCTTGTGGACTATAAACATAAGCGTTATATCAAACCATATACAGCTATACCTACACATTGGCGAGTTTCTCAGACCAAGATACATGTAGGATAACTCAAAACTTGGCATACCATGCATTTGAACCCTAACCAATCTGAGAGTTAATTCATATACAATAATTAACATGTTAGAGCTGATGAGTGGAAAGGAGTCTATAAAGTATGTAAGTGAGGGTGGAAACTTGTTAGAATTTGCTGATGAATTTAAATGTAAGGAATGTATGATTATCAGAAGAATTATGCAAGGAAGATTTGGGAAGGATAAGAAAATTTTAAAAAATTAACAAAAAAATAAATTATCTGAAAAACAGGTAAATTGCACAAGAATATTCTGATCTAAATCTGATTCTTGTGATTATTATATATGGTATATAATACAAAAGAGTAAAATGTATTTGCAACACAGTCTAAGCATTATGCATGGGTCTTGCTCATCTTAAGATTCTGTTCACATCTGTACATAATTACGTGTCTGCAATTTCTGTAGTACGTACTGAAATAAATTAATAATTTCTATGTTGTGGTTTTTATCAATGTGATTAGAAAATAGTCAAAGGAATGTCTAAGAGCAACAAATTTCAGTTCAGTTGAGGTGTAGATGACTCTAGAGCCATGTCTGTTGACAGTCCAAGTAGGGAAGAACAAAGGTGCTAGAAGACTGTATGAACAAGTACAGAGGAACCCCGGCTTTTGTCCTTAATCCATTCCAGAAGGTCAGTCGAAATCCGAAATGGACGAAAACCAAAGTAATATTTCCCATGAGAAATAATGTAAATCCAATTAATCCATTCCAGACACCCAAAAATATTAGCAAAAAATACATTTTATAGAGAATAGCTATAGTTTTACATACAGAAAACAATGAGAAATATAAATGACTAATTTTAATGGATAAATGAACATTTAAATCACTATTACACATTCCTTTGTTGAAGACTTGTTGGCGTATGGAAGAAGGCGAGGAGGGGAGAGGGAGGAGAGGTTATTGTTTGGAAGAGGAATCCCCCTCCATAAGGGTTTCAGGTATCAAATCCCTCTCTCCAGTTACTTCCCTTCTTTCTTTTACTGGCACTAGGACCAGCTTTAGTCACTGGACCCCTGTCGCACAAAAAATCTGTCCAGAGAGCTCTGTTTCTGGTGTCTCTAAGATTTGCCTAAAATGGGACAAGGCATTGAACATGTTGCAGACACGGCTTGCAACAGTTTTGTTAGGGTGATAATTCTCCACAAAACTTTGCACCTCACTCCACTTTGCACAAATGTCCTTAATCACTGAAGACGGCACATTCTCCCCTCTCTCTTCCTCCTCCTCTGAAGCAATTTCCTCAGCTGCAATCTATTGCTGTTCCAGATGAAGGTCTTGCAGCTCTTCAGTGTTTAGCTCTTCCCTGTGGTTCTCCACTAGTTCTTCCACATCCTGGCCACTCACATCCAACCCCATGGACTTCCCCAAGGACACAATACATTTCACAATAGGCGTAGGGTTGTCAGGGTCAGCCTCAAACCCTTCAAAATCATTCTCGAGGACACATTCTGGTCAGTATCAGACGCGTCCGCCCACGTCCTCAGCAGGCGGACGCGTCTGATATGGACGATTTCCAAGCAGAGGTACAAAACCCGGGGTAAAATTTCACCCAAAAAAGTGGTAGAAATCTGAATTGTACGATATCCGCACCGGACAAAATCCGGGGTTCCACTGTATTGTATATTTCTAGCCTTCACATGCGGTAAAAGAATATTCACTATGCTAGAATCTAATCCAGTAAGGGCCATTCAGCACTACACACCAAAGGTGAAAGATGATTGAGGTGTGTAGGGAAGAACATCAGCAAAAAGAATGGGGGTCAGAGATGATATAGTTATGGAATAGTAAAGCAAGTTTGCATTAAAGAGGGGGGCAATTAAGAAAAGAATAATAAGTACTATACTTGCTAATGACAATGCAATTTGAGTAATGTACTGTATTTTCTACCCCAGTCCAAAAAGTACTGAAATACAGATATAAACACGACTTCATAATGGCAAAACGTTACACAGAATATACTGTACGGGTCATCCTTCAATTTATGCAGTATGCGTGTTCCAGACACATGGCAATATACATATGGTATTACTGACAGAAATAGGAAATTGCATAATAACAAATTCCTATAAAGTGAACCAGCTTAAAGTAAGAGAAACCTGAACTGGCCCATGGCCTGGTGGCAAAAGCTCTTTCTTCACATGGTGAGGGTCTAGGTTTGATTCCTGGTGAGGGTTGAAACACTGGGCATGTTTCCTTACACCAGATGTATATGTTCACCAACAGTAAAATAGTAGATACCTGGGCGTTAGTTGGCTGAAGTGGGTCACATCCGGGGACAAAATTTACCTAATTTGCCCGAAATGCTATGCATAACAAGCGGCTTTCTATACAGTAGTATGTCACTGATGTACAAGGTATACAGGCCTAGCTGACATGTAGAAATAAAGATATTATATTATTATTATTAAGATACCAAGCATGTCAACCAATTTGAAACAAGAGGGATTAAGTTGTTTGGGTACAGTAATTATATAAGAATTTACTTAAATTGTCTCCCACTCACCCCCTTGATACTAAAGCGACGGCCCCAAGAAGTTCAAATGCATTATAAGGAACTGAACAACATTCCAAAGGATCAGCCAGCACCAGCCGAACTTCTTTATATTCACGTTTCTGAAAATTCTGTATAAAGTTACAATAAAGTACAGTTTAAAAAATATGAATAATAATTTTTTTGCAGTAATGTACAGTATACTGTCTCTATATGCATATGTAAGGTAAATTCCAAACCAAAGATATATAAGTGCATGGCCTGTAAAATCTTTTCAAATCCTTTAATGCACTGTAGTGTAGTCGATGCCACTTTTTCTTATAAATGTGAAATATAATACTCAAAGAAATTCTATGCTGTACAGTACTAAATGAAAAAAAAAAAAAAAATAAGGCACAGAAATATTCACATAAAAACTGACAATCTCAAAATTTTACTACCAGACTTCCTTAGAGTACGTGTGGTTTTAGGTGTATCCCCAAAATAGGTACCTTTAACCCCTTCAGGGTCCAAGGCCAAAATGTGAAGTGGTGCTCCAGTGCCCAAGAAATTTTTTGAAAAAAAAAAAAAAAAAAAAAAAAAAATAATAATGGATTTTTTCTTACAGAATTAAAGGGTATAATTTTTGTGAAGGTAATAAGACAAAAAAAAATTCTGATCAGTACTTACCGAGATACAGCGGCAGGAAGTTGACCCAAAATGACCGGGTGGCGGCAACATCAGTGACTTCCGCAAAATCCCATTTTTTTTATTTTACGTTTTTTATACTTTTTTCCTTTTCTATTTTTTTCTTTTTCTAATAACATTTGTGGCCTGTGAGACCAGTATAATGTATATTGTATAAGTGTACACTCATTGTATTCAACACAATAACTGCACTAATTTATCATTATATTGCTTGCAAAACTTGTTTACAAGTTTATTGTAAACAAAATGATGAAAATATTAGTGCGGTTATTGTGTTGAATACAACGGTACCATGTGATACAATGGTGCCATAGGGTGCAATTGTACCATATGGTACAATGACACCATATGATACAAAGGTACCATATGGTACAATATGGCACAATGGCACATGATACAATGGTACCATTGAGTACAATGGCACCATTTGGTACAATGGCACCATTTGGTACAATGGCACCATTTGGCACAATGGCACCATTTGGTACAATGGCACCATTTGGTACAATGGCACCATATGATACAATGGTACCATATGGATGGCACATTTTTACATGCACCTATGATACAATGTACATATGTGCAATGATACCATATGGTGCAATGATACCATATGGTGCAATGATACCATATGGTTCATTGTACCATATGGTACTGTTGTATCCAACACAATAAACACTAATATTTTCATTATTACTTTGTTTACAATAGTTGTTTACAACAAAAATATGCAAAAATGTTGTATATTAGTAATGTTTTATTATATATTTACAAGTGTACAGGAACTTGACGTGTTCCTTGAGGTGGATGGCAAAGCACTTTGCCTCGGAAACTGCAGTCAGTAGCTAGCTTGCGTCGCCACTCAATCATTCTTGGCTTGTGTCTCATGCCACCAACACCTATTGACCATATAGTACACAGTATCATATGTTACAGGGTACCATATGGTACATTGTACTATATGGTATAGGGTACCATGCAGTACAGGATAACATATGGCACAGGGTACCATATGGCACAGGGTATCATATGGCACAGGGTACCATACAGTGCAGGGTACCATACAGTACAGGGTACCATACAGTACAGGGTACCATACAGTACAGGGTACCATACAGTACAGGGTACCATACAGTACAGGGTACCATACAGTACAGGATGCCATATGGTACAGATACAGGGATAACTATTGAAATAAGTCACCCAAACTTTTTTGGGTTATCCTAAGATTTAATATGTATGCTACTATGTATGATAATCTATGTAATTGTATTTCTGTACACCTGAATAAACTTACTCAAGTGCATGTGGCATCATAAGTAAGTTTATTTAGTTATACACAAATAAAGTTACATGGAATATCATACTTAGCAGCATATGTTTGGAGAACCTAGGATAACCCAAAAAAGTCAGACAGACTTATTTCCATTAGGGTCCCTGTACCATATGGTATAATGTACCATATGGTACAATGTACTATATGGTACATTGTACCATATGGTACCATTGTACCATATGGTACCATTGTACCATATACCATTGTACCATATACCATTGTACCATATACCATTGTATGACATGGTACCATTGTACCATATGGCACAATGGTACCATATGGTTCAAAACCATAGAATTCGTCTTCAGCTCCACTTCCATCAGTCTTAGAACTGTAAGTTGTGAAGAGGAGAGTCAGAATTCGCCCAGAGAGTTGAGTGGGGAGTGAGAGCTTCCTTGCCACCAGGCACTATGAACAAAGCTACTTTGCCGGCGTTCCCACAATGCCATGCGGGCGTCCAGATTTTTTCTATGGTGTGCACACTGACCATCCAGACCCATTCTCTCAGATGTAGGCCTACCAACCTTCTCGTGCTAAATTTGACACAGCTAGAATTTTGGCGTAGATCTACGGTTTGGACCCTGAACGTAGAGCCGTAGATCTATGGGACGGACCCTGAAAGGGTTAAGTGGTGGACAGAATTATCTTTGATTCCTTACCTCTTCCTTCAAGGTTTATGTTTATAACTTGAGCTTATAACTTTAGAATGCCTCGTCCAATCAAATCAATTGTTCAAAATGCTTATGTAACTACAATGGCATATGCAGGTGCCCTCTGATCACTTTCATATACAGGTCTCCCTCAATATTTGCGAGGGTTAGGGGATCAAGAGCCTCACAAATGTTGAAAAATCGCTAATGTTTGGTGCCCCAATATATTGTAGGGAAATATAATACTTGAAATATAACTTGTGATGAATGGTTTGAAAAACCATGAGCAATCATAAAATACACGAAAACGTCGTAAACTGTACTAAATACATACATGTTATGGTTTAATAACATGTATGTTATTAAATACCACTGCCTCCACCAATGCCTCCACCACTTCCTCAACCACTGCGAGTCCCTACTACCGTCCCTCCGACCCCCGCAACTGGCAGCCAGCCCTCCCACCACTGTACTCACCTAATTGTACTCACCTAATTGTGGTTGCAGGGGTCGAGACTCAGCTCATGGCCCCGCCTCTTCACTGATCGCTACTGGGTCCTCTCTCTCTCTCTGCTTCCTGAGCTTTGTCATACCTCTTCTTAAAACTATGTATGGTTCCTGCCTCCACTACTTCACTTGCTAGGCTATTCCACTTGCTGACAACACTATGACTGAAGAAATACTTCCTAACGTCCCTGTGACTCGTCTGAGTCTTCAGCTTCCAGTTGTGACCCCTTGTCCCTGTGTCCCCTCTCTGGAACATCCTATCTCTGTCCACCTTGTCTATTCCCCGCAGTATCTTTTATGTCGTTATTATGTCTCCCCTGACCCTTCTGTCCCCCAGTGTCGTCAGTCCGATTTCCCTTAACCTTTCCTCGTACAACATTCCCTCAAGCTCTGGGACTAGCCTTGTTGCAAACCTTTGTACTTTCTCTAACTTCTTGACGTGCTTGACCAGGTGTGAGTTCCAGACTGGTGCTGCATACTCCAGTATGGGCCTAACATACACAGTGTACAGTGTCTTGAACGATTCCTTATTAAGGTATCGGAACGCTATTCTCAGGTTTGCCAGGCGCCCGTATGCTGCAGCGGTTATTTGGTTGATGTGTGCCTCCGGTGATGTGCTCGGTGTTATGGTCACCCCAAGGTCTTTCTCCCTGAGTGAGGTCTGTAGTCTTTGTCCACCTAGCCTATACTCTGTCTGCGGTCTTCTTTGCCCCTCCCCAATCTTCATGACTTTGCATTTGGCTGGATTGAATTCGAGAAGCCAGTTACTGAACCACATGTCCAGCCTGTCCAGGTCTCTTTGCAGTCCTGCCTTATCCTCGTCCGATTTAATTCTTCTCATCAACTTCACGTCATCTGCGAACAGGGACACTTCAGAGTCTATTCCTTCCATCATATCGTTCACATATATCAAAAATAGCACTGGTCCTAGAACTGACCCCTGTGGGACCCTGCTCATAACAGGCGCCCACTGTGATACCTCTTCACGTACCATGACTCGTTGCTGCCTCCCTGTCAGGTATTCCCTTATCCATTGCAGTGCCCTCCCTTTTACATGCGCCTGATCCTCCAGCTTCTGCACTAATCTCTTGTGGGGAACTGTGTCAAAGGCCTTCCTGCAGTCTAGGAAAACGCAATCTACCCACCCCTCTCTCTCGTGTCTTACTTCTGTTACCTTGTCATAAAACTCCAGGAGGTTTGTGATACAAGATTTGCCTTCCATAAACCCATGCTGGTTTTCATTTATAATCTTGTTCCTTTCCAGGTGTTCGACCACTCTCCTCCTGATAATCTTCTCCATGACTTTGCACACAATACATGTCAAAGACAGGTCTGTAGTTTAGTGCCTCGTTTCTGTTTCCTTTCTTAAATATGGGGACTACATTAGCTGTCTTCCATTTCTCAGGTAGTTGCCCAGTTTCAAGGGATGTGAACATTAAAATGTTCATTCTGTCAGACACTGCAACACAAGGGTATCTTGGTACAGACCATCAACTTCGACAACCTCTACTAGTGAGAACGGCTGGGTTTGAGAGGGACCTACCCTCCCAAAGCAACCTACGTCTCACCTCCTGGCACTATATAAGGCCCCATTCTGTCACTTCAACTTCATATTGTTTCAGACAACGGAACAATGCTCTTCTCCAGACTGAGGGACTGACCACCTCAAAACTTTAAGGGTGATGGACTGATTACATCGTCTTCAAGTATCTTCTGCTTCTATCAACTTTTCTGTACTCGACTGAAGAAGCCTACTGTGTAGGCGAAACGTTTCGAAATAAAGATACCTAACTGTTGCATATGTGTCTTACCTAACTTTCAAGGGATGTGTTGAAGATTGTGGTTAGAGGCACGCACAGCATCTCTGCTCCTTCTCTAAGGACCCATGAGGAGATGTTGTCCGGTCCCATCGCCTTTGAGGTGTCAAGGTCACTTAAGAGCTTCTTCACCT